CTTCAAGTACAGTGTTCTTCCAGTACAGTGCTGTTCAGTACAGTGTTGCTCCAGTACAGTGTTCTTCCAGTACAGTGTTGCTCCAGTACAGTGTTCTTCCAGTGCAGTGTTGCTCCAATAGAGTGTTCTTCCAGTGCAGTGTTCTTCCAGTACAGTGTTCTTCCAGTACAGTGTTGTTCCAGTACAGTGTTCTTCCAGTACAGTGTTCTTCCAGTACAGTGTTCTTCCAGTACAGTGTTCTTCCAGTACAGTGTTCTTCCGGTACAGTGTTCTTCCAGTACAGTGTTCTTCCAGTACATGTGTTGCTCCAGTACAGTGTTGTTCCAGTACAGTGTTGTTCCAGTACAGTGTTGTTCCAGTACAGTGTTCTTCCAGTACAGTGTTCTTCCGGTACAGTGTTGCTCCAGTGCAGTGTTGTTCCAGTACAGTGTTGTTCCAGTACAGTGTTGTTCCAGTACAGTGTTGCTCCAGTACAGTGTTGTTCCAGTACAGTGTTGTTCCAGTACAGTGTTGTTCCAGTACAGTGTTTTTCTACATGTTGCTCAGTGTTGTTCCAGTACAGTGTTGTTCCAGTACAGTGTTGTTCCAGTGCAGTGTATGCCTGCCAGTGCAGTGTGTTCCAGTACAGTGTTGTTCCAGTACAGTGTTGTTCCAGTACAGTGTTGTTCTGGTACAGTGTTGTTCCAGTACAGTGTTGCTCCAGTACAGTGTTGTCCAGTACAGTGTTCTCAGTGAGTGTTGTTCAGTCAGTGTTGTTCTAGTACAGTGTTGTCAGTACAGTGTTGCTCCAGTACAGTGTTGTTCAGTAAGTGTGCTGCAGTATGGTGCAGTACAGTGTTTTCAGTGCATGGTCGTACAGGTTGTTCAGTAAGGTGCTTTGGGAAGTGTGCCTAGGGTGGTGTCGTACAGTGTTGCTCGGGAGGTTGTTCGAGTAGGGTTGTCTAGGAGTGTAGTACAGGTTGCTGAGGGACAGTGTTCCGAGGCAGTGTTGCTAGTACAGGTGTGGCAGTACAGTGTTGCTGTACAGTGTTCAGCAGTGTGTCTGCTGGAGGAGGGTGCTGGGAAGAGGGTGCTGGGGAGGGTGCTGAGGGGAGTGGGGAAGGTGCTTGGGGGAGGGTGCTGGGGGAGGGTGCTGGGGAGGGTGCTGGGGAGGGTGCTGGGGAGGGTGCTGGGGAAGGTGCTGGGGGAGAGTGCTTTGGGAGGGTGCTGGGAGGGTGCTGGGGAAGGTGCTGGGGAGGGTGCTGGGAGGGTGTGTGGAGGGTGCTCGGGGGAGTGAAAGTGCTGGGGAGGGTGCTGGGGAGGGTGCTGGGGAGGGTGCTGGGGAGGGTGCTGGGGAAGGTGCTGGGGAAGTGCTTGGGAGGTGCTGGTGAGGTGCTGGGAAGTGCTGGGAAGGTGCTGGGGAGGGTGCTGGGGAAGGTGCTGGGGAAGGTTGCTGGGGAGGTGCTTGGGAGGGTGCTGGGGAAGGTGCTGGGGGGTGCTGGGGAGGGTGCTGGGGAGGTGCTGGGGAGGGTGCTGGAGGGTGCTGGGGAAGGTGCTGGGAGGGTGCTGGGGAGGGTGTGGGGAGGGTGCTGGGGAGGGTACTGTGGAGAGTGTTGGATTGGGTGCTGGGGAAAATGCTGGGGAGGGTGCTGGGGAAGGTGCTGGGGAGGGTGCTGGGGAGGATGCTGGGAAGGTGCTGGGGAAAGTGCTGGGAGGGTGCTGGTGAAGGTGCTGGGGAGGGTGCTGGGGAGGTGCTGGGGAGGGTACTGGGGAAGGTGCTGGGGAGGGTGCTGGGAGGGTGCTGGGGAGGGTGCTGGGGAGGGTGCTGGGGAAGGTGCTGGGGAGGGTGCTGGGGAGGGTGCTGGGAAGGTGCTGTGGAGGGTGCTGGAGAGGTGCTGGGGAAGGTGCTAGGGAGGGTGCTGGGAGGGTGCTGGGGAGGGTGCTGGGGAGGGTGCTGGGGAGGGTACTGTGGGGGTGTTGGATTGGTGCTGGGAAAATGCTGGGGAGGGTGCTGGGAAGGTGCTGGGGAGGGTGCTGGGGAGGATGCTGGGGAAGGTGCTGGGAAAGTGCTGGGAGGGTGCTGGTGAAGGTGCGGGAGGGTGCTGGGGAAGGTGCTGGGGAGGGTACTGGGGAAGGTGCTGGGAGGGTGCTGGGGAGGGTGCTGGGGAAGGTGCTGGGGAGGGTGCTGGGAGGTGCTGGGGAGGTGCTGGGGAGGGTGCTGGGAAGGTGCTGTGGAGGGTGCTGGAGAGGGTGCTGGGGAAGGTGCTAGGGAGGGTGCTGGGAGGGGGGGTGCTGGGGAGGGTGCTGGGGAGGGTGCTGGAAAAGGGTGCTGGGGAGGTTTCTGGGAAAGGTGCTGGGGAGGGTGCTGGAGAAGGTGCTGGGGTGGGGTGCTGGGGAATGTGCTAGGGGAGGGTGCTGGGAAGGTGCTGGAGAGGGTGCTGGGGAGGTGTGCGAGGAGGGTGCTGGGGAAGGTGCTGGGGAGGGTGCTGGAGAATGTGCTGGGAGGGTGCTGGGAAGGTGCTGGGAAGGTGCTGGGGAGGGTGCTGAGGAGGGTGCTGGGAAGGTGCTGGGGAAGGTGCTGGGAAGGTGCTTGGGAGGGTGCTGGGGAGGGTGCTGGGGAGGGTGCTGGGGAGGTGCTGGGAAGGTGCTGGGGAGGAGTGCTGTGGTAGTGCTGGGGAGGGTGCTGGGAAAGGTGCTGGGGAGGGTGCTGGGGAAGGTGCTGGGGAGGGTGCTGGTGTGGGTGCTGGGGAGGGTGCTGGGGAGTGTGCTGGGGAGGCTGCTGGGGTGTGCTGGGAGGGTGCTGGGGAAGGGCTGGGGAGGGTGCTGGGGAGTGTGCTAGGGAGGGTGCTGGGGAGGTGCTGGGGAGGGTGCTGGGGAAGGTGCTGGGGAGGGTGCTGGGGAAGGTGCTGGGGAGGGTGCTAGGGGAGGTGCTGGGGAGGGTGCTGGGAAAGGTGCTGGGAAAGGTGCTGGGGAGGGTGCTGGGGAAGGTGCTTGGGAGGGTGCTGGAGAAGGTGCTGGGGAAGGTGCTGGGGAGGGTGCTGAGGAGGGTGCTGGGGAGGGTGCTGGGGAGGGGGCTGGGAGGTGCTGGGGAGGGTGCTAGGGAGGGTTCTGGGGAGGGTACTGGGGAGGGTGCTGGGGAGGGTGCTGGGGAGGGTGCTGGGGAGGTGCTGGGGAGGGTGTTGGGGAGGGTGCTGGGGAGGGTGCTGGGGAGGTGCTGAGGAGGGTGCTGGGGAAGGTGCTGGGGAGGGTGCTGGGGAGGGGCTGGGGAGGGTGCTGAGGAGGGTGCTGGGGAAGGTGCTGGGAAGGTGCTGGGGAGGGTGCTGGGGAGGGTGCTGGGGAAGGGTGCTGGGGAAGGTGCTGGGGAGGGTGCTGGGGAGGGTGCTGGGGAGGGTGCTGGGGAGGGTGCTGGAGGGAAAGGTGCTGGGGAGGGTGCTGTGGAGGGTGCTGGGGAAGGTGCTGGGAGGGTGCTGGGGAGGGTGCTGGGGAGGGTGCTGGGGGGAGGGGGTGCTGGGGAGGGTGCTGGAGAAGGGTGCTGGGGAGGGTGCTGTGGAGGGTGCTGGGGAAGGTGCTGGGGAGGGTGCTGGGGAAGGTGCTGGGGAGGGTGCTGGGGAGGATGCTGGAGGGTCACTGGGGAGGGTTCTTCGGAGATTGTAGGAACGAATGGTGCTAAAACATAATTGCGTAAGAGAGGGTAGGGAAGAGAGGGGAGGAGGAAGAGAAAGGGGTAGAAAGGAGGGTGCTGGAGGAGGGTGCGGAAGGCTATTGTAATGTGGAATTATGTGGAGGTCCTGGGGAAGATAGTCTAGGGATGGTCTCTTAGAAGTAGCTGGGGAAGTGCATAGATTGTCTGTTGAGAGTTTCGAAAAAGTAGCGGGGTAGGTGTCTGGATATGCTGGAATTATCAGGTGCTGAGTTTGAGTCATACGGAAAACAGCTATCTGTTCTGGAGGGTTCCTGGGGTAGGTGCTTGCAATGCTAGGAGAAGTTGGAAAGTCTCGAGGTTCTGAATGATGGGTTGCTGGGAGGTCTTAAGTATTGCAACCAGATGTAGTGGAGAAATTTTGAAGGTCTGTGAGGGGCTAATGAGTCTAGGGTCCCTACTTGGATGATAATCCTTTAAAATGCTGGAATACGTTGATTACTTAAAAAAAGAAGACAATACTTATTTAAGGAGTAATATATAAGGTTAGCTGTGACAGGGTCGAAAACCTTCTTGATATACTTCTCGCTGAGAATTAAAATCAAGTTGTCTTTAAATATCTGAAACATCCAAAAAAATGATTAAGAACTCCAACATGTGATAACTAGCCTTTAGATATCCTTGTATAAAGGCAATAAGTTTAATTAAGGTCAAACTGGAAAATGCCTTGAATTAGATTCAACATACATACAACATCAAACTGGACAAAGTCTAATGCACTGTTTATTCTGGACTAAGTTTTAACCATCCAAGACTTTAAAACCGAAAAGTTGATAGCTGGTCCATGGTTGATTTTATTATTTATATAATCAAGGGGACGCGCTAAAACCCGAGGATTATACAAAGCCCTGGTTCCATGTTGGAAAATATAATTCAATTAAGGTTTCATTAAAAGTATCATTGATTTTTAATATGATTGTTACTCTCGTGAATTTAAATTAGATTCTTTAGAATTGAATAGAATTTAGTGAGGAAATTTAAGCTGGTACTGAGCATTCATTCATAAATTTTACTTGACATGACCTGACCAAATCTTCGCTACTTCCCACACTCAGCAAGCTTGGTCATGTGAGGTACAATTTTAAGTGAGTGATATTCAGCCTCATAAGCCTTCTGCTGATCTATTTTTAGTTTCTTGTTAATAAGAGAAATCACGAAAACGCTTGGAAATTCACCATTTCTTCACTGGTTGTTTCGCAAATTGCGATACCGCTTATTTACTGTGATTTTATTACATATATGTACGTGTATATGTTTGCATGCATTTTATTTCTTTCCCTGTACCACAGTCTGACTTACACTAGTATTTTCTCTCCCCCAGGAGACGCCACAGCCGACTCCGGACCCTCAGTCTTCCTCAGCCGGGTCCCCGAGCTTAACTCTTCCCTCCAGCACGACGGGGGGTGAGGACTTCGACCTGTCCCCTACGGAGTCGTCTGCAGGAGCCAGGAAGCGTGCTCCCCGGGCCCTCACAGGCAAGCATGTGAGACCAGGCACGGGAGCATCAGCCAGTACCCTCCTCACCCTGCGTCAGAAGCTGCAGGAGCGCCAGAAATACCGAGAAGTGTACGGGGAAGATCCGCCCCAACCCTCCAAATCCAGCAAAACCCGATCAAGGAAGCGGTGAGGTGTACCAAGCTGGATAACAGAGCGACTTCACCTTTGTGGCCAATGTTTGAAATAATATCTTCAGTATATGAAGAAATGATAAAACTTACAATGCATAAGAAGCAATAGCAATTCTGTGTGTAATAAACACAGGTATACTAGTGTTCTCAATTCTCACAATGATGCGATTTGTCCTAAAGTAGTTAGGCAGCCGTTCTAAGACAAACATCACAGACGGTGCAGATCAAGCTATTGGGTGGTGAGGTAACATAGAATGCATTGTGTACGTGTAATGGAGGGCTCAGAGTGCTCGAAAAGTGAGTGAGGCCACGGAGGGAGGCTCTATGCTCAGGTTTACCTCAAGGCCTCAAAAATTGGGAGCTGCGGTTGGTGGCCCGGTGTGCCACCTCACCATGGCTGCAGGTGCTGCTGTGTTAGGAAAGAACATGATGTATTGGTTTCTCTACTATATGATTGACCTGCCCTCAGGGGTGCAGCTAGAGGCTGTGTCCCTCCCAGTCCTAGCCCTCATCACGCTTCTGTTGTACCTTCGTGCGCTTGCGTGCGTCAGTGTGCACCTACATACGCCTGCGTGTGCCTACGTGCGTTTGCGTGGACACGTTTATCTACGTGCGCCTTACCAAATTGCTCAATTTTTCTGCCCTGGACTTCCAAACTGTCCAAAGTCTTGGCTAGCTTTTTCAAGCAAAAGTTGACAGCACCGATGTAACACTATAACAGCTCCGTAAGGCCCATTAATGAAATGCTGAAGCTGTTTTTATACAGAACAAATGTTTTCCTTACTCATCTCTCATATATAGTTACTTCGTAGTGAATTTACAAAATATTTCTCATCACGGATTCTCAGATTCATGCTTTAACATTAGAAAGTGTGTATGTACGAAGTAATTAGAAATGGAAGTCACAGTACAGTGTCTGGAACAATTCAGAAGAAAAATCAAAATTCCAAGTTGGACACGAGAGGACATTACGGTCCCTCCTGGGCCATGACAAACTCACAGGTGCATTAATGATAGCTCAGCGATAACGATAAAAAAAAACATTGAAATATATGAGAGCAAGCTTCTGATATAGACTTGAAGGTTGAAACGTCTGGTTGGCACATATCTTACTCTGGTCGGTGGTGTTCCAGAGATGATTCTTACATTCCAGTGTGACACATCATTCCTGCCAGTGTTAGGGAGGCCCCGCACTGACCTATATATTATATTTTGACTCTCAGTCCCGCCATATCTGCTTATATTCTGCAAAGTTCCCACTGAATTTTGTGTCTTTTATCCTGCACAGTGTGAATACAGACTTGGCATTATCAAACATACTCTTATTAAGAGTATAGTTATCATCAAAGGTATAGTGACCATGAAGGTAGTTTAATGTACCCTGGTGAGTATATATATAGTGACCTTGATGGTAGTGTACTCTGGTGGGTATAGTGACCTTGTTGGTAGTGTACCCTGGTAGGATTAGTGACCTTGATGGTATTGTACCCTGGTGGGTATAGTGACCTTGATGGTAGTGTACCCTAGTGACCATGATGGTAGCGTACCCTGGTGGGTATAGAGACCATGATGGTGGTCTACCCTGGTAGGCATAGTTACTATGATGATGGTGAACCCTGGTAGGTATAGTGACCTTGATGGTAGTGTACCCTAGTGACCATGATGGTAGTGTACCCTGGTAGGAATAGTGACCATGATGGCAGTGTACTCTTGTGGGTATAGTGAGCATGGTGGTAGTGTACCCTGCTGGGTATAGGGGCCATGATGGTAGTGTGCCATGCTGGGTACAGGGACCATGATGGTAGTGTACCCTAGTGGGTATAGTGACAATGATGGTAGTGTACCATGCTGGGTATAGTGACCATGATGGTAGTGTACCTGGTGTATAGTGACCATGATGGTAGTGTACCATGCTGGGTATAGTGACCATGATGGTAGTGTACCTGGTAGGTATAGTGACCATGATGGTAGTGTACCGTAGTGGGTATAGTGACCATGATGGTAGTGTACCTGGTAGGTATAGTGACAATGGCGGTAGTGTACCTTGGTGGGCATAGTGACCATGATGGTAGTGTACCCTGGTGGGTATAATTACTTTGATGGTAGTGTACCCTGGTGGTTATAGGGACCATGATGGTAGTGTACCCTGGTGGGTATAGTAACCATGATGGTAGTGTACCCTGGTGGGTATAG